GATGCTAGATTCCGCGTTCTCCACCTCTTCAACTTTCCTGCCCCCATGATTTCGATGTTGTCTTCGTCGCAAATGCAACAGCTGGTATCAAACTGGTTGCGGATGCTCTTAGAGACTATGGTGAGTGTGGGTTTTGGTACGGATACCATAGGGATGCACATACGAGTTTGGTTGGGGTCAGAGAACTGGCAGCGAGGGGACGGCGGTGCTTTGCGGATGACGAGGAAGTTGAAGACTGGATATCTCGTCATTCACCAAATGCGCAAAGCCCTGTATCCGTTCCTACTTTGTTCGCGTATCCAGCTCAGTCGAATATGACAGGTCGTCGCCTACCTCTTGACTGGTGTCGCAAGCTGCGAGTGTGTAATATCTACTCTCTTTTGGATGCGGCATCTCTCGTCTCCACCTCGCCATTAGATCTTAGTGATGCGGATTCTGCCCCCGATTTTACGGTTCTGAGCTTCTATAAAATCTTTGGATTTCCGGATCTCGGTGCCCTTATCGTTCGCAAAGGCGCCCACAATATCTTTGATAAGCGGAAGTACTTTGGAGGGGGCACGGTTGGTATGGTTACCAGCCTTGAAGATCAGTGGCATGCGAAGAAATCGACTTCAGTCCATGATCAACTCGAAGATGGCACCCTCCCTTTCCACGGCATTATTGCTTTGCATTCTGCTTTGGATGTACACGAACGCCTTTACGGTTCCATGGAGAATATTTCGCGCCACACAGGCTCGCTGGCCAAAGTACTGTATGATAGCATGGCTGCTAAAAGGCATGCAAATGGAACCGTTGTTTGTGAGATGTATAAGCATAAGGATTCCAGTTTCGATGAACGGACTACCCAGGGCCCCATAGTTTCATTCAACCTGAGGAATAGCGATGGCGAATGGGTTGGGAAATCGGAAGTTGAGAAGCTCGCGGCAGTGAAAAATATTCAAATTCGGTCCGGGACGCTATGTAATCCAGGTGGAATGGCATACCACCTCTGCTTGAAAACTGAGGAAATGAAACGGAATTACAACGCTGGTCAACGTTGTGGAGATGACAATGACATAATCGATGGCAAACCAACTGGGGGCTTAAGGGTTAGTCTGGGAGCTATGAGTTCCATCCGCGATATTAATCGATTCCTCGACTTTATTGATGAGTTTTATGTGGACAAATCCAACGCAAACACCGTTCTCACACCTCAGGGTGTTATGCAATCCAAGAGAGGGCCCCAGCCTTCTAGCTTTTATGTCGACAAGCTCTGCGTGTATCCGATCAAAAGTTGTGGAGCATTTATAGTCCCCGATGGCAAGCAATGGGAGGTCAAACCAGAAGGCCTCGCATGGGATAGAGAATGGTGTCTAATGCACCAGGGCACGGGGTTGGCTCTCAACCAGAAAAGATACCCTCGAATGGCTCTCATCCGCCCTGTGATTGATCTTGACAACGGCATCCTACAAATTTCACGTTGGATGCCCGGCGCTGATGATAACCCCCTGAAGTTACCCTTATCAGACCAATATGTCGACATCTCAACAGCTGAACTCTGTGAAAATTCCATGAAAAAGTCTTCCACGGTATGTGGTGATAGAGTACCCGTGCAAATATATTCGTCGCCAGTGGTTTCTGCATTCTTTTCAGAGTTCCTTGGAGTCCCGTGCACGCTTGCCAGGTTTCCTGCGAATTCATCTCTCCGATACTCGAAACACCAACAGCGCTCCTATCTCCCTGAGACCCCGTCACCGTTCCACAGTATGCCGGGCGCTTTCCCTCAACCCAACCTTGCGTCCCAAGTACACAAAAATCCCATACGTCTGTCGAACGAAAGCCCCATGCTACTAGTATCCCGATCAAGTGTCAATAAACTTAACGAAACTATTAAGTCGTACGGAAAATCCACAACTAAGGGCACTAGAGCAGTTGCCGCTGATGTATTTCGAGCAAACATTATTGTCGCAGAAAATCCCGCTCTGGCACCTAGCAGCAGGAATGGAGACAGTAATGGCTCTGCTACCGGGTCTATATCTACACCACCAACTTTGCTAACCGAACACCCATATGTCGAAGATACATGGAGAGGGTTCCGCGTGGGGTCCCACAAATTCGACGTCTTGGGCTCGTGTCAACGGTGCCAGATGGTTTGTGTAGACCAGTTCACGGCGGTCAGGAGCGAGGAACCGTTCTCACACTGGCGAAGACGAGGAAAGTTGACGGCAAGGTTAAATGTGGAAGACATGTGTGCCTTTCGCATGATAATTCGGAGGATGGTGTAGACGGAAGAGGGAAGGTTATGATAATGACTGGTCAGGTTGTTGAGCCGTTGTATGAAGAAACGGCCTGATAGAAATTTTCTGATTTTGATTTTGATTTATTACATTTTCCCACAGCGTCTAGTGTACATTTGACTAAAATGAATGTAATGTATATAGTGAAGCTGTTTATGTTGGATATCGTGAACAAGTTCCGCAATAATTTATCTATATTTTTTGGTCTTTTTCCACCTACTAGACATTACCTATGCAGGCGCTCAATGCCAGGTAACACAAAGGCTATACCAATGCTGACCTGATTCCAATCCTTCGGTGTGCATAAGAGAGGGAACGCTCACCTAGTCTGGTGCGTGCAATACTCTGATTATACCCATGCCGATTCCTTTGTATTAATGGCTAATATACCAAAGGGTAATAAGATAGTTGTAAGAGGAAACGAGGAAACCAGGAATGTATTTACCTGTACATGTATAAAAAATAATTTAAGATGCCGTACCCATATTCATACAAGAGGAATTTTGACAACGAAAACAATGAAAAATAAAATGAAAACACATCAAAACTCCACACGATCCTTTAATATGATAGAGGCCAAGCCATGTAAACAACGTATTTCTACATACGCGAACTACACCTCCTTACTTCCGTGGGTATTTCTTCCATCCTCTTCCATGACCCCGCTATAGAACAGTTAGTAAAAGAGTCCCTTGAAATCAACAAAGGGGAATAGGCTGGGTAAGGAAGACCAAGAACGTACCTGTTTCCACAGCCTGATCATCTCCGGCATACCCATCATGGCCTTCTTCCGATCCTCCAACCGGCCCTCTAGCGTCCGCTCCCACTTATGACCCTTAACCTTCTGACCAATACCCGTACCACGAATTCTCAATCCTTTCTCAACGGCCTTAGTCTCCCGATATACCGTCGACTTGCGGCTGGGAGGTAATAGCTCCTCCACGCCATATTTCGCGGCCAACTTAACCAGCTCATTCTGTCGTCGGAGGGAAATCATGGCGCCCCGCCATCGCCCTGTTTCGGGATTTTTATACGGTAGGAATGGATTTGGGTGTTCTGGATCTGAGCGGAGGAAGGCCTGTGACATTGAGAACGCGGATTGGTCCACTTTAGGAGCCTTTGAGGAGCGAGATGGTGTATAGGGACTTGGAGCTGGAGCTAGGGCTACGGCCCCTTCCGGTACTTTTGGTGCTCCTAGGGCATTTGCGGAGTATATTTGCGGCGGGTAGCGGGCGAAGAAATTGCGGAGCCGGAGGGGAAGATTCTCCAGTATGCCAGAGGTAGCAGTTTTGGTAGCCATTGGGACTATCTGCCAGATGGCTGGCCCCCGGTTTTTGTCTTAAGTGCAGGTTGATATTGCTGTTGTTGAAGAGAAATTCCTGGAGAATACCGGTCACGTGGTGAATCAGTAAACCAAACTGTTTTAGGGAATAGTGTCCGATGTAACAGTACGTCGTTTGCAAGAGAAATGAATACGCCGCCAAGCCTCCGATCCTCTCTCACTCCTTCAATTACTTTTTACTTTCCGTAATCCAAAGTCTGCACCTGTAATCCACTTCTTTGCTCTCTGATTTCCCCCATTCCCAATCACCTATACACCTCATTATCAACTGCTCAACACTTATCCGACGAGCCCTTCGATCGCTAATCGACCTGGATACGCTGTAGCCGGGACACCAGAACAGTCGTTGCCATGGCTGACTTGATTTTTGGTGGTACAGAAGAGGAGAATGCGGAATTGAAGAAGCTGCATGCGGAGGTGGTGAGTTTTTTGTAATCGACTTGGGTGCTTTATCTGGCAAAACATACACGCTAACTGTTCCTCTTGATGTAGCTGGAAGATTCTGATAACTTCGAAAACTGGGAGAAATTGATTCGTGCGGCGGAGGGCCAGGAAGGGGGAATCAATCGCAATTCTAACCCCCAAGCTATCACAGCAACAAGAGGCGTATACGACCGATTCCTGGCCAAGTTTCCCTTGTTGTTTGGATACTGGAAAAAATATGCTGATTTGGAGTTTTCGATTGCGGGGACTGAAGCTGCGGAAATGGTAAGTTGCATGTTTTTATATACATAGGTTTCTTTGAATCAGCCCGCAAATTATATCGCAAGAATCGCAAATAACAGTTTATTCGGCAGGTTTATGAACGGGGTGTTGCAAGCATTAGCAATTCCGTAGATCTATGGACCAATTACTGCGCGTTCAAGGTCGAAACTTCCCACGATGCAGACATTATTAGAGAGTAAGTATGGGCATGTTGGTTTCCTTCCCCGTAACTATAGTGACACAGCGCGGATATTGTTGTGATAGCGAGGACAAAGAGGTGCAGATTAGTATCATCAGCAAAAGTTTTTTGATGGGTGAGATAGTCATCTGCTACCCAGGCTCCCCTTGAAACTTTTTCTTACCCTTGAGTTTCAGGCTCTTGTTTTTCCTTCGCACAACAATTATGTTGTTCGGGAATCCTTCTACATATTTACCGCACGATTAGATACCATTCTCCGTTGACCTTGACCCAGTTGGGCCTTTCACTAAAGACATATTGCATATGCCATGTTTGCCATCCTTCACATTCCCTCATTTCTTCCCCTCCTATTCTTCCCCCTTCCCTCCATTATATTGAATACGAAGTAGCTGACATTGGTGGAACAGACTTTTTGACAGGGGCGCAAGCTGTGTGGGGCTTGACTTCCTAGCACATCCGTTCTGGGACAAGTACATCGAGTTTGAAGAACGTCTTGAAGCTCAAGACAAGATTTTTGCCATATTGGCAAATGTTATTGAAATTCCTATGCACCAGTACGCGAGGTACTTTGAGCGCTATCGCCAGATGGCTCAAACTCGCCCCGTCTCTGAGTTAGTTCAACCAGAGCTGTTAAGCCAATTTCGTGCAGAGGTGGACGGTGCAGCAGCTGGGATTCCTCCAGGGTCTAAGAGTGAGGCAGAAATTGAAAGAGACCTTCGCCTTCGGATTGATAGCTACCATCTAGAAATATTTTCGAGAACACAGACGGAAACTACCAAAAGATGGACATATGAATCCGAAATAAAGCGTCCCTATTTTCATGTGACGGAACTAGATGAAATGCAGCTGTCCAACTGGAGGAAGTACCTTGACTTCGAAGAAGCTGACGGCTCTTTTTCGAGAATTCAGTTCTTGTACGAGCGTTGTCTTGTTACCTGTGCTCATTATGATGAATTCTGGCTCCGATACGCCAGGTGGATGCTGGCCCAAGAAGGCAAGGAAGAAGAAGTTCGGAATATTTACCAGCGTGCCAGCACGTTATATGTTCCAATTTCTCGGCCTGAAGTCAGACTTCATTATGCGTATTTCGAAGAGTTATCCGGACGGGTGGACGTTGCCAAAGATATCCATTCCGCAATCTTGATATCACTTACCAGGCCATATTGAAACTATCGTGTCGCTTGCGAACCTATCGAA